GCAGGCAAGTCAGAAAGATCAGTCATGTTTGGTGATTTCTCGGAATACTATACTTTTTAAGAAAAAACCTACATCTGACGACTCTTCGAGCGTGGGCTTCCTATCTGAAAGTTTCATTATTATAAGATCTATGTCAAAAATCTTCAGTTCTGTATCACCTAAGAGGAGCTTTAAAGCAGATTTTAAAAACTTACATCATTGAAGTTACTTGAAATACCAAGTAAATCACGCTGATAACAAATATCAGTATGCTAAATCTCAGAAATGGGATTGAATTAGGGGTGTCACTTTAACTTTAAAATACTTTAATTAAAGTATTAAAGGTAAAGTGTTCTTACTTTAACATTAACATTAAAGCAAACTTGAAGTATCATCCCTATTCTGAATTGAATTTTTAAAATGCTCGCTTTGAAATTACTCTGGTTCAGATGTGACGAGGAAAATTTTGAACAATATGTTTCAGAGAAATGCAGCTTTCACATAGGTTCCTCATGATGCCGAAGCTACCTATATAAGATATTCTTCTTAAACAAAAAGAGTTTTGTAACTAGATAGCTAAACACTACTCGCGCTTGACTTCTCCCTATCTCGCATTCTTATTTTTTTATTCACACATTATTGTTATAGCGAGGCCAAACTCATGATCTTCTGATGAGAGTTGTAACAATTTCTCGGATATTCAGCTACATTGCCATGCGATGCGACTTTACCTTTGCTTATCTAACACGGATTTGCCGGGAACCTAAATAATTTTACTTTAGTTCATGCACAGTCAGACTAAGAACACTTTATCGTTACCCACTCATTTTCCAACATTTTTTATAATCATTTGATAGATCTCGAAATTCTCTATCGAATGATACGTAAATAAGAGTGGACCGACGTTTTCCCATTGATTGCACCACCGTCGTCATAAGCCAAAATTACATTTTTTTACATGCATGTATAGTCTGTCGAAGGTCATTTTATCGTTACCCACTCTTTTTTCTACATTTTTTCTAATCATTTGATAGATCTCAAAATTCTCTATCGAACGATACGTAAATAAGCGTGGACCGACATTATCACTTGAGTCTTTCGCGAGAAGTATTATCATCGGTATTCACCTTTTCTACAACTTTTGTATGATATGCCGACGGTGTCAAATTGAATTCAGTAGGTTTTCTTATATGTTGACATACCATCAGAGAGAGCGTGAAAAGGGCTACAATCTGACGGGTAAATTAAAATAAGTAGTAACTATGATAACTGAAATATTTTATTAAAATGGTCGGCTCCCCAAGGGAGATACAGTGGATTTTAGTGCAATAGAAAAAGTAATGCAAATGATGTCTAGATTTGATATAATGATAAAATGTGACTCAAAATGTCGATGTAGCATCAAAGCGAGCATAATCAAAACGAAAAAGTCGTGTTTGGACAGGGGGCCGATTTCGGCTGTTAACGTCCCCCGTCCTTTGAATAGTGTTACACTATTTCCAAGTAACTTCTCAATTAATATTTATGTTCTAACTTTCTATTCCTCACCGCACTCACAAGTGTTGAGGTGGAAGAAAGGTGCCGAGATGCTGAGCAGGTGCTGAAGTGCCAAGGTGCTGGGTGCCAGCACTTACCCCCTTGAGTTTCATCAAAATTAACGGGACGTTCTATTTATCATAACCCATTCAGCACGATTCGTTCTAAGAGATCGGGTGGGACCCATCGTGGTGAGTAGGTTAAATTTCATTATTTTTCTTAAAGCCCCACCGCCTCAGAAAAGCCGATTTTTCGAAAAAAAACGAAATTGAGTTTTTATCATAGAAAGATTTCCCATGATCTCCTCTTTCAGAATATATATAATTTTTTGAAAAAAGGTCAAGTTTTGACAGACTTATTGAAGAAATACTCTTTCATTTCCTCCCTTACTCCCACACACCTTTCTAAAAATTCCTAAATGTTGGTCTGAAAACATGGGTCTCAAGCAGAAAAATTGCTATAACTTTCGTTTGGCTTTAGTTTTCACTGATATTTTTTTAATTTTAAAGGTCTCAATTATAGCTAACTTTTTATCAGACGGATTTTCGATATTGCATTCCTGGACTGAGAAAAGTTCGATTTAGTGCGTTTTTTATACCTACTTTGGCAGTCATACCGAGCAAAATACTTATAAAAAATGAGCAGAAGGGAATTTCAAAACTCGACTTGATGAAAACTTGCGTATGAAGGCTAGTTTTAATTTAAAACCGACCCGACCTGGATAGCTCTCATAGTCATGAATTTGTAGCAATTATCATGGAAGCTATAAAACAAGTCATAAGTCTAGTTTAGTAAGGTATACAATGCTGAAACTTTTACCATAAGCGTTTCTCACTAGGCCTATTCATTGGTGAAAATTTCAGCCCAAACCTATACTCCAAAGTGGCAAGTCGATTCTGAGGGGGGCCCTTAATGCTGTGAGCAATCAGTTTATGCAGGATTGGGCATATTTGTTGCAGGAATTGAAAAAAATGGTGCAGATCAGTTATGTTCTGATCTAGTTCATGACAGGTGACACACTGTTTAGTGTATTCTTTGTTTAGTTCTAGAAAATCATACAGGCTTTGTACGAATAGAAACAATTCTTTAAATCTTAGGTTTATCTATGTGTGAACNNTAACTATTCTATAAGTCTGCAAAGCCCGTAGTCTTATAATCACAACAGATTTTTAACTGAGCGGCTAGTCGTTCATCGGCGCCCTTCTGGGCGCCACTCACGACTAGCCGCCCCCACTAGTTTCGTTGTATATATGCGGTGAACGTGATCCTTTTAAACACTGCATGATTGATTGCAAGCTTCGCTTCATTATATAATTATTAGATGAAAACAAAGAGCACTTTCAAAAAACCGAAAACAACAGTTGTGGGATTAATTTAATCCAGTTTCATCTACATATGAAAAAAATTACTCACAATTTTGAGAAGAATATGACAAGANTATGCAGATGTAACTGAATGAGACATGATTCCCGAGTACTTATCAGTTTGCGTCCGTTCGTAGATGCGCTAATCTAGAATTCTAGGAGTTAAGTTTGAATAAATTCTTCGTGTTGCAATAAAAGTTGACATATCAAGAATAAACTGAAGATTTTGAAAAAAGCTTTCAAAGTCTTAGTGCAGGTGAGCGGCTAGCCGCTCCCAAATTGAGAATCAATTCAACCGCACGATGCCTATAGCCTATTCGTAATAATATCTCACATAACCATACGATACATCTAATACTGTAAACATCATCAAATGGTATCCTCAAAAAATTTCCCTACAAAGCATTCCTATCAAGAAAATGCGACGATCTAAACAGCTCCTAATCCATTACAAACTTGTTTGAAGTACAAAATTTCAAGAATCTCACAACGCCATCGTGTTCCACGACCCCCATTACATTCGGTCAACCCTATCCCTGCAGGATATTGTTTGCGGTTAGTTAAGTTTATGCATCTGCTTTCCTATTGGGCGAACGAACGAACGGACACACATACGAACGAACTCATTTAACTCACTTTTCGTAAGACCCTCCTTTCAGTAAAGGGAATATACTAGCGAGACCCCGTGCAACATGCACGCTACTCTTAAAAACCTATCTCTTCAATGCCGTGGACTTTGATATGTACTCTCTCTCAACCTTATTCGCTGTGATTAGCTATTACCTCTATGGACCAACTCCAAATGTTGTCTTTCAATGCTCTGTACGCGAAGAACGTTCCTGTAAGTTAGCACTTTAGACTGAATATCAATGAGGACTGGTACGAATGTCGGTGTAGGTGAGGATAGATCAGTGAAAGTATTCTCTGCACGGTCACTCGTCATCCACTACACTGTTGAAGGCGTCTATCACTCACATTCATCGCACCAGAAGGTTCCAAGAGCGGGATATTGTCTTATGCAGAAAATATCTGAGAAAAAGCTTCTCGAAATGTGATTTGGTCATAGGTAATGTCCGATCAGGATTGCGGATCACTTTTCTATCTCCAGAATGTGTGATAGTGGGATGGTTTTAAGAATTGAATTTGTAGCCCTTGATTTGCTCCATCAGTTGACTTTCTTAAATGTGTCACTCACCGGGAAGCTAACCGAGGAAATGCTCTTCGAAATCTGATTGGTTACTTTTAGAAGCCAATCAGAATTGAACAGGGGTTTTCTACTTCTCTGATGAGTATTGGCAATGCGGCTGTACCAATGTATTTGTAGTCGCCGGCCTTCTCTCTCAGTTGACGTCCTTGAAGGTAACGGCTCACTAAAATAGCGGAGAAAATGCTCCTCGAAATGTGATTGGTTAGTTTAAGCAGCCAATCAGTAAGCGAAGAAATCTGATTGGCTGAAAAATTGACCAATGGGAGAGGGGCCAGATAGTCACTCAACATTATTATATATATATATATATATATATGGGTGTGTGGGTGTGGGTGGGTAAGGTTTGAGATCTGACTGCCACTGTTCTTTTCTACAGTCACCAGACCCGCACACCCAACGTTAAATGGTTCAGCATCTTCGCTAAAATGATTAATGTCTCCTTTTAAGATCGTTTTTTAAAAATTATGGCTCTTGGTCGAGTGTATTGTGTGCCATTATCTCCTCTCATTACTTATTGGAATTAACTGTTCAGACGCGATTTTTAACGTTGTCTTGTCGTTTTTTCTTATTGTATGCTTAATCCTTCTTTCCGTTGTAACTATGTATCGTAAATTTCTCACTTTTTTCACTCTTTCTCTCCTTTTCCTCTGTCTTCGAATTGCCTATATAAGAGTGTAACTTCTATGCAGATGGAATGATTGATGATATGTAGAAGGTAAATAATGTGCAATTTCATTCATGATCGCAACTCGCCACACTTAAAACAAATAGGAGTCTATATAGAATCAATTACCATGAATTGGAATTTCGCAGAAGTGCTAGGATTTGGATAAATAAATGCCTTTGTAATTGCTATAATTTAGGAGAGCGCAGTATCTAGTGACTGCTCTGTAGATTCAAAATGGATTTATCACATGCACCAGTGGACAGCTAGAAAAGGTCCTTATTCACAAGGCTCTCAAGATCTTTACTTGGAGAAGATATTTTCGGTATTTCATACAACGAATCGATACTTTGTCGAGTTCGGTTTCAATTCACTTACCTATGGGCCCCATACATCGGGTGCAAATACGCAAAAGTTGTATGAAGCTGGCTGGCGTGGGCTTCTGCTAGACGCTAACAACGAAAATACGAGGATCAATTTGAAAAAGCATTATTTGTTCGCAACCAATATTGTAGCTATCTTCGAAGAAAACAATGTTCCAAAAGAACTTGACTATCTTTCGTGTGATATGGATTCGCATGATTTATGGGTATTTCGTGCCATTTTAGAAGCTGGATACCGTCCGCGAGTAATCACAACCGAATACAATTCGAACTACCCCATCACAGATGCAATAACTCTGCTAGATCCAACCATAGTCAGAAATAGCGTCGACATTGACAAATTTGAATTTAAATTTTCCCAGTGTGCATGGGGTGCCGGGGCAGGCGCTTTGCGCATAGTAGCAGAAGCACACGGATACAAGATGGTTGGAAGAGTCGGTAATCTGGATCTTATATGGATGAGAAACGACCTCTTGATGAATCAGTGTTCTCTTCTTCCTCCATTCGAATGGTTTTTCCATGATGCATCCATTGGAAAATTACATCATAGACAACAATCGTCTTCTGATATACTTTCACAGATAATCGATTATGAAACGTATGTGCGTACTGGAGGAAATCTTACAGCAAGTAACAGAGCAGCTCACTCTATTCTAAAAAGACGACGTTTACCGTGTTACGAAAGCGTGAAAAACTTCTTTTAAATATAGTTTGTTGTATTCAACCGGCTTCATATAGCCCATGTAAACACAATACGCAAAATCGATCTGTTAAAACATGGTTTGACAATAAAATGCGTTAAGAGGCAGTCAAAAACGTTTTCACGACGCCTGCAAACGTGATTGGATATGAAACCAATTGACACTCGGTTAAAGATATTTTAAAACGCGTTTGGATGCAGTTTTTCTGCACAACTCGTTTAAACACAATTAGAAAATAATATGAAAAGGGTCTCAACGGGTATCTGAAAAAAATTTAACGCTTTCAAATGCTTTTTATCTATTAACTACTTTTAAGCACGTCTTAAATATTCTTTTAGTTGAGTTTGGATCCTGTCATATTTCTGCGCGTGTTTGTAAGCATTCATTTCTCGTTTTTCAGACTCGATTTTACTCCAACATTTTTTACTCTAAAAGGGTTAACCGCGTGATCAAAATTGTCGACTTACATGTATTTTATTTATCTGTAATTCTTTCGATTTTTTAATAAAAATATTAAGATGAAGTTAAAACACACAAAAATTTTATTAAACATAAGGCATATAATCCATATTTGTATAGAGTTTTTATGGATAATAAGAAGACAGTATCGCAATAGTTTTCAGCTGTCCAATGTTCATTTAGCATACTGATAAAGAGATTACTGTTTAATTATATGATTAACAACTTTTATCAAACTTCTACTAAATGAATTAAATGAATTAAATGAATAATTATTTATTAGTTAAATCTTTTGACAAAGTTATTTATGATGTTACCACTGCAATTATTAATTTTTCATTACATTAGCATAAATCCATGGGAAACGTACCACTTCATACATGACTTTCCTAGAATCGGCTCAAACTATGAGGGTTTGTAGTGCCTCAGTGAGTTGATCCTATTGGCAATAAATTACATTAGCGCACAAAAGTCTCCACCCATTTATAACTCTATTAAACATGATGATTAAACAAAAATTCTTCTATATTATGTAGAAGCTAAGAGCCTATCCTGATCACAAATGCAGTATGAAATCCCCATGACTTTCAACAACTTCCGAAATTCGGTCTTTCATACTGTGCACCACGTTCAAGCCTAATTCCTGTGGCTGAATTTTCCATTCACGATTTATTGCCCACACCAAAAACTGATAAGTTTTCAACTTTTTCTTGTTTAGCTTCATCTTGACGAGCTGCCAGACATTTTCAACAGGAGCAAGGTCAGGTGACACTGGCGGTCGATCAATTTTTCGATTCCTTTTTTTCTTTCCAGTTGATGGTAAGTTTTGACGTGTGTTTGGGGCCATTGTCTTCTTCCAGTTTCGTCGATGTCAGATAGTGCCCAAATTGTTTCTGAGTTTTTAGATAGAGACCATACTTATTGATGCTACACATAAATTTTACATCGAGGTTCTGCCGAAGACAGACGATCCCACCGAAACCCTTGCTTGAGAAGCAACTGTAAATATTCATATTGATGGGATGCTTGACAGTACAAACAAGTTTTTTCCCAGGCAAGTTCCAAACCAGCCCTTACACAGAATTCGGACGGATAGAAGTCTCGCCAAAAAATACCACTTGATTCCACTCGGTAGCTTTTTATTGTCGTGCCCACTTAGGTCGAAAAATCAGATTTAAGATCTTGTAAAACCAGATAAGATCGTACGAAAAATCATCGTCTCTGAAATTTTACATTAAGTAAGATACAGGCAATACGAAATTCGAGTAAGATTTTTTATCGGCGATTTTTTAGCATGGGTGGATAGAGCTCGTTGGGTTACCCCTAGTGCAATGTGATTTTTAATTTTTCCAGCTTGATTTTTCTATCAAACAAATATCGATGAGAAGCTACCACAACACGATGAATTACCACGACGAACGCCGAAATTTCATTGGTCAAACTAATACCCAATCAGAAAATCGGAAATATGAAAACACCATCATAGTGGACAAAAATTTGGACATGGTTGATCATAGCAACCAAGTGATAAGTACCATTTACCATCGAAGCATTCTACGCTTTTTCTCTAATGACTGCAATTCCAGAACAACAACTATAAAAAGCTTTCTTTGAAGCAAACTCAAACTTAATCGAAACCTGAAAGATTGCAACTTCTGAAGCAGAAATTTTGAAATCACTACTTCTCATGAACATTTCAAACAAACTATCCAAATAGAAATTTTTATAAAAAAATAAAATCTAAAACGATACTTTGTTTTTTCCAACCAACTACGACAAAGTCTATAAGATTTCACTTGCTACAATAGCATAAAAAACATTTCTATGAAAACTTCCTCCGTTGAATTCCACCACTTTTTCATTGTGCAGAATTCAATTTTTAATATAAATCAACTGATCCGAATCTTCGGTAATGTTTCTCAAGAGAGAAAATCTTTTTTATTTTCCTGTGTGCATGCCGGATATTATCAATCCAAGTTGAAACTTCTCTTGAAAAGATACGATGGCAGTGGTTCTGACAATTCGGACTAGTTCTATCTCAGATAGAATTGAATTCCAAATCAATCTCAAAACGGTGTTAATGGGTGACAGTATGCGTTAAAGGAGAAAATCGTTTGCTTCAGTACGTTGAAGAGAATCTATGTGCATCACTAAGTGAGTACTTTCAATTAGTGTAGCACATGTAAGCGGATCGATTGATTTTGTTTTGACTGATTACATATTATCGTATATATATATTAGTGTAATTGGATACGAGTTGTGTTGTGATCGGTCAACATATATATATATATATAAATGTCTTTTTTCAATTGACATTGAAAGATATCATACATTTTCGATTATTCGTTTGTTTGAGGTGGCTGTCATGATTTGTTTTGTTTTTGCTATTATCTTATGTGTATCAACTGCAGTAAGAATATGGTTTACTAGGAAATTATTTTAAAAATTTTTTTTTGCTTCAGCCGATACCATATAAATCGTTTCAAGATTATCAAGGCACGGGAAAGTTGATTCCCGTTTCACGGCATGTAACAGGATTCAACACAACAGCTGTTCCTGTTAGCAGAGCGCTGGAGCCCTCGTTTGTGGGGAAGATTATAGAAGAAGTGATTTCTAATGCACTTAAAGTGATTTTAAGTGCTCCAGTTTCTGGGAGTTGCATTTGCACGTGTTTTTGTAGCATGAAGTATGTTCGAAACGGTTGTGTGTGCAAGGTAATATTTCTATAAATTCGCATATAATATTATTAACTCGATTGTTTTAGAACGAGTGGTTCTACCCAAAGTCGATGGCTGATTATAGACGTCGTAAAAATCAAACACAAGGTTTTTTATTTTCTTTCTGTCTAATATGTGTTGCAATCTTTTTTTTAGATCATCAAGTGTACGAAATGCAGGTGACAACTGCGCAGCCTCTCCATTCGTTTTCGTCTTCTATTGCCTCATTTTGATTCAGATGGTTTTCCCCAAGTTGTTTTTTTGTTTTCTGTACAAACGTCTGACTTTCTTTTCTCTTGGTTTTTTTTGTTAGTGCTGAGTTTTTCTTTTTTCTTAATATTCTTGGTAATAAAATTGATTGTTTTGAACTAATGGCATATGTTTTTACTGTAGGAAAATTTTATCTGAGCTTAATGTTGGATGCATAATAGATTGCATTGTATAGCAATCATGTTACAAGTACGCTTTGTTGATCATGAAAATACTTGAGTGAATGATGATTGATAAGAAATATTTATATTCAATGGCACTTGTTGCACATGCAGAAATTGACAATCTTAAGAAGTGAAAATAATGATCGATCTTAGCTTATTTTTTAATTTTTCTGTCTTATTATGTTATGATAGTGATTGTTTTAATTACTCAGTTGTCTAGGCATCTTGGCTTTTATATTTTTCATTCAGATGATTTTTTTCATTGTCTATTTTTACAGACTCAAATATTAGTGTACAGAAGAAAAAGCTATAGTTGTGCCTCACATGGAAGCCATGACGAACTAGTGTAAAAATTTTCAAGAAGCTTTATATTTCATTAGTTTATTAATAACAAATAAGTATTTAAATATCAAATTTTCTTTTTGCATGGCATGTACACTTTCTTACAACATCTGTAAAGTCGCAACCAAGTATGTTGTCATGCGTCGGATGCAATCTATAGATGAGAATTTTCTTCGCGAAGAAATATTAATACATACTATTATGATTGCTGATTTTTATTTTTATTTTATTTTATATAAGACACGGATTTTTTTCGTAACAACTTGATTTAGAAAAAAAATGACAAATCTAAGTTTAATAAAGATTAGTAACAATGTTAGAAAATGTTTACATTTTTATTACGGTTAAAGGTTAACTACAAGAATTAGCAATGTCATCATGATCGAACAAAGTTTTTAATATTTTAATTCGTAATTATGAATGTTAGTTATACGATTCATACGTCTTCTAATAAATTCTTCTGCATCCTATTAATTTGAGTTTGCATGTAATTGACTTTTTTTGAGATTTTGTTTTTGATTATGTTAATGACAAATAGTAAAATGCTTAATATACTTAAATACAGAACCGAGAGTAAAATATTTCCGAAATCTTCGAGAATCTTATTAATCCATGTCCGCTGAGTATCAATCTCCATTTGCAATTTCAATAAAGTATTCATAGCCGCAGCTTTATAGATAGAGACAAGTCGTTTAGTTATATTGTTTAAACTAATAACGGAAGCGGGTTGTTTATTCAGAGAATTATTATGTTTGTTTGTGACTATAATTGTTGTGTTGATACATGCAGATGCTGGTAATAGAAAGTTTGAACAACGCACAGGTCTACCACATGGAAATCTTGCAATCGCCGACCCCTTAATAGACACAATATCTGATATATGACTTGATGATGATTGTAATTCGCATTCAAGAGATTCATCACTCCAATAGGTATACCATATATTATTTTTTATATTTAGAATGTTGGATTGAATATTTTTTGATTTTTCTACTAGACACTTGCTGATGGAGGAGAATTCAGCTCCTAAAAGCTCATCGATACATGTAACTGTAGATAACGGAATACTTATCGGACGATTTCGACATTGTACGACTCTAGAGAAAGTACAGGACGCTAAAAAGTTGCCATCGTTCCATAAAACAAGTCTTTTTTCAATATTGTTGAAACCAAATATTTGTGGTAAGTTCGAGTAAACGTATTGCTCTCCTTCAAATATGACTGGTAGCGGTGTTAAGTGGTAAACTTGGTAAAACGACGAAGTTTGCACCGGAAGTCGTCGAAAAACTGTGGAAACAACAAGGCATGGAGGTCCACTTCGTTCAATTTCGTTATGTAGTATTAAACATGATTTAAACGCAAAAATAGTTTGTCCGATTATCATATTAGTAAGCGTATTAATATTTTCTTTTATACTTATGTCATGTGATACGTCACCGGTAGTCAAAACAGTTAAAGATAATATTTCCGAAATTTGCTCATCAGTCAAAAAATCATAGCCAACTTTATTGTTGAAGACTTGCTCGAGAACTAATGTTACTGGACTAGTACCAATATGAAAGAGTGTCGATGGGTCTGCGTTAACGAAAGAAGAAGAAGTCGTCAATAACGATCTACTTGTATGGGTAGTTACATAAAAATGATTATCAACAAAATAAATGATTGATTTAGATTTTGCGATAAATTTATCCACTTGATGATATAGAAAAATTCGCCGAATATCTTGTTGAATAGCATTCGAAATATTTTGTTTATTGTACGTCGTGAACACGTGACTAGCGTAGGACATGAGCGTTCCAATTTCAACGATATTTGGATCAGTTGATTCAATGTATTCACATACGTGAGAATTCGGTGAGTCAACACATAGATTATTGTATGGAATAACCATATGAAAAATGGATTCATCCAGTTTCTCCGAATAGATTCCGATCGGGTACAAAACGAATCCTCTATCGGCATCAATCATAACAGTTGGTGATGGTAAAGTTGGTACTACATTCAATTTAATGATTAATAGTACAATAGACGATATCATGTGAGATTGCATTATGATGCAATTTAGCTTTTCTGAAACAAAACATATACATATATATATATTTAACAGAAAAGTAGTATCTAATATTTATGTGTGAGTATGTATTTCAAACGCGTCGGCTATTTATATATTTTCAAAGGAGTTCTATGTAATACTGAATGCAACATATTCAATTCGCTGCATGTCCTTTACTTGAATGGCGGAACAAACGTATCTAATCTCTGCTGATGAAATGTTATAAGCATTCCATCACCTATACGAGAACGCTTTCTCTTACAAAATCATTCTGATAAAACCGACCGGTTTAATTCAGTTTAAAACTCAACTCTAGATCTAACTCCACTAGTATGTTACACTGGAATTACTTTCTCTAGGCCAAAAGGGAAAACGATTTCCCCTATTTGTAGTTGTTCTCATCGCACATTATAACGCAAAACAAACCTTGAGAATACAAACATATACAAAGTGCAACGTTATCGAACAGCAACTTGATCATGAACCATAACTACTCACAATATTTTAACTCGTCACAATATATTGAGCTATTCAAAAATACATCGTACACTGTTAAGTGTGAAAAAAAACGATCGATCAACCGCGTCAGTCGCACAATAAGAGAACGATAACAAGCTATATACACCATAGAAAGTAAACATCACGCACTCGTCCAACACGCCTCAAGCGATAATTCACTCACGAGCAATTCTAATTGATGTCAAATTCAATCCACTTAATCAATCATCATCATTTCCTTTCTTACCATAATTCACACCCAACAAATTAAGATCAGCTATTTAGATAACCACATTGCACTTTACAACCACAATATCTTCCTACTTCACAAAACAATATAATTTAAGTCATGACAAATTTTCACCGTTCAATCTCACACAACATTCCCGTCGGTCGATCGAATAAGTCACTCTATCTCTACAGATTATATTCAATGATTTCTATTATATGATCACGTAGAGTGCATTCAACAATTTATCGTAGACAAGAGAGAATTCTTCTTTTCGGATACGCTGCCACCTGATGCATAGCCTATGTTTAGTTCTGCAAATGAATTGTACTTTGCATAGGAATCATCCGAACCAAACGAGCAACTTTCAATCTTTTTCCGAAAAAAGATTCAAAAAGCAACGAGATAGCTAACTATGTACATACCAATGTAAAAGGTTTTTTTCTCTCTTAGAAAATATTGCCGGTGATTCGGACCAACTGATCTATACTTAGAATCGAATTCTACGTTTGATAGAACTGGTCCGAATCAAACAAAACATTTCGATCGATAAATCATAGTCGGTGTTTCAACAAAAAATATTGTAAAATTTTGTTTGCAAATTCGGACATTATTTTTTTCTCTCTTAGAAAATATTACCGGTGATTCGGACCAACTGATCTATACTCAGAATTGAATTTCATATACGATGGCACTGGTTCGAATTCACGGAGCAACTTTGGTCCTCTTTTTAGCAAGAGAACTTTCAAGAGGGAATGGCATAGTTTAGTTTGTACATACGAAATGATGAGAATTAATCTATTCGGCACTGGTTGATTTTTGTAGTGCAGATTTTTTGTTTTGAGTAATTCAATTCTTATTGAATAGAGTTGATTGTTTAGATTCAGGTATTTTGTTTGCTTTAGAGTTTAGAATTTTTATAGTGGTTGCGGTTCGATTACCTTTGTGATGAAGTAGATTGATGCTTATTTCAGATATAGCAGATTGTGCCGCGTAAAGCTAGGATCAATGAAGAATCGTTTGAAAAAGCACTTCGTGAAATTGGTATTGATGATGTTGCTTTATTGAACAGCTCGAAGTCATCCGCTGATATATGGGGTCGTATTTGTTCACGAAGGGGAAAGGAGACAACATAGAAAATCGCCGTGCCTGTTATGACTTTTGGAAGAGAAAGGGATATTCATTACATTCGACTATTCCTGATTTCATGCAGGTACATGTTTCAAGGTTATACATGCGACTTTCACATTCGTATTTTGTATGATGATAGGATTTGCAGCAATCGAATGATAATGGCACTGATCAAACTAACATTGTTGATTTTGATCAGGTAAGATAGCATATAGTTTAAATTTGAAGTTTCGAATGATTTTAGTCAATCTTGGCATGCTATTATATTTTTTTTTCGTTGTAATAGTTAAGAGAAACTGAAGTGGATACACGTTCTGATTATACTCGGCCTACTACGTTGAATTCAAATGTTCACTCAATGTTCGGAGCTGACCTTGAAATGAAAGAAATATCTGTAAGTAAATTGAAGAAAGGCTTATAGCTATCTATCATAAACAGGCCTATTTTATCACTATCTAAAATCTGTTCGTAAATAGCGATATTAGTTACACTATCAGTATGCAGACAGGTGGTGGCAAAATAACCGAGAATAAGTTATATAAGTATATGGATTAAGAGGCCAACATGATAGGTAGAATTCAAAAGTAACAAAAAATAAACAGAAAAATGATGCTACATAAAATGCCTCATAAAAACTAATGCAATACTAATGAATCAAAGTATAAGTTTTTTCCCCAAAGAAACGAGTTAGTGTTCAAACTAGAATAATATTGAAACGAACCGTGATAAGAATTGTATAATCAAACTAAGTGCTGCAACTACCTTATATTGATGAAAAGAATGGTATTGTTTTAGATTGTAAGTTGTTAGATGAGTAAAGAAAGAGATTATTTATTCGTTTTTATATAATTCGACTAGGAATAATTATTTTTGATTTTATATTTAGTAGAGTAAATTATATTAATAAAAAACATATGAGTAAAAAATGCTTTTGCATCTATTTCATGAGAATGAAACACGACTTTAGACTTTTCTTAGGTATTGACATATAATATATAATTTATTTTTGTTTCATTATTATCTTAGTGCTCACCATCAAGTGAAATAAAGGGAAAAAAGAAAGATTTCATGAAACAATTAAGTGAACTTTTACAGCAACACCAAACCAATTTTTCTCTAATATATACTCATGATTATAATTCAACAGCTTGTTCCGGTGAGATGGTTGCTATCCAAGTTCTATGCCAGTGTATAGAGTCACATGATACTACATGCATACGAAAGAAAAACTTTTTAAATAACCATTCATCAAATGAGATAAATTCAACATAAAATTCTTATATATATTTTGTTAATCTTCAGATCCAGGGACAAAGCTCAAATAGTGAAAAGAGTGAAGGTGATTATCTGCATAACCTGTTAACAGGTCAAGCAACAATTGATAGTCGAGATTTACAGATAAGTATTTCATATTTTTAATACATTCACTTTGTCTTGTTGTGATCTAGACTGAAGAGACAGCAACAGTAAATAACATTAGTCACGACAAATTTACACCAATATCAATTGTTCAAACACCACCTCTCTTGTTTGTCTCACCTGCATCCTCAGTAACTCCTGTTATGAATAATTATTTACTAAAAAATTTTTTTTTATATAGTTATCGTCTTCAGCTACGCCGAAAATTATGAATGTTGATTCAACATGCAAAATCACCAGCAAGCTGAATGTTGCAGCCTGTCTGCTAAATCAAGCTAAAGTGAGAAATTTCAGTTTGATTATTTGTTTGTTGACATAAATATTCCTATAATTTTCTCACAAAAATCAATATTGATCTCAGTTAAAAGTGCTTTGTATAGAATACTCAGGTAGGTAAACTCAAGGCCGAGTGCTATCAGATCTTAGGAGATTCAATTATTGAATCAATCGTTCTATTTTACGTAGAATAAGTAGAAAATTTGTTTTACATTCTTGTGTTACTTTTTTTAAAAAAACTTTTTATATTAATATGTTTCTAATTCCTTTTGAGTAAAAGATGTATTTTACCATTTAGAATATATTAAGTCCTTCGCAAGTACCTGACCATACTATCATTAGTGATGAACAGAAAAATGTACTCACATACTTGAATCGTCAAAATGCTAATTCATCGGATTTTATTTTTGATGTCAATGAAATTCAACAAATTGAGAGAAATAAGGCAAATATTATTTCTCAGAGTGATATGGATAAATTGAAGAAACTTCAACAAGACCAACACAAAAAGCAACATCAGAAGAACCAGCAAAACAAAATTATAACTGCTGTTGCTGCTGCTGAGGATGATAATAATTACAATATAGACAACCCAAAACGAAATCTCGAATGGACTTTAATTTTAGACGAATATGTTTGGCATTCAAATGACTATTGTGTATTCAGTTACGATCGTCATCATTTTACTACTCGAACAACTATTGGTATGACAAATAAATTCTTCATGAACGTAGATGCTCATTGCAAGTTTAGTACATGCACATGTATATTTCATGCTACGTTAACTGAAAACGGCCGATTAAGAATAAATTATTTAGGTCGAATTGTGCATAAAGCAGGTGAAGTACATGCTCGACCAATACGTGGTTCGCGTCGTGAAGAATTACAACAGTTTACTTCGCTAGGTGCTACACCAGGTGCACTTTATCTTCAACAATTAAAATCAATTTCAACGGCAAATAAAGAAGCAGGAAATAGGAATGCTGTAGTTTCTAGTCGTTCAGTACTTCGCAAAATATCAAGTGAAGCTAATTCTAAATTACGTCGAGATGATGACTTAGACAAAAGTCTGCGTGAATTAAAGATTGAACAAGCAAAGAAGGTTTTTCCTGGTGAAGTAATACCCGGTTATCTTCAAGAAATCAGTACGGATCCACTGCGATTGATCTGTTTTACCGCTGGAGGCATTGGTGCATACCATCACTTTGGATCCACTATGCCATTATCATGGGATGCAACTGGTGGTATCATAGTCAATCGTAATAAACGTATTTTTTATTATGAATTAACAATGACAAATCTCAGTAAAGGTGGTTCATCGCTTCCAATATCAGTAATGTTAAGTGCCTCGCATGGAACCATGGATATTGTTCATTGGATGAATTGTTTTATCGAAAAATACAAACAAGTGTACGGTTTTTCTAATCCTTTTCCTAAGCCACCGGTCATTCATAGTGATCGTGCTTCTGCTTTTCTGCTTGCTGGTATTCAAATCTTTAATCAAGATGAAACTATGGATCGTTATATTGAACGATGTTGGCGCATTCTACAACGAACTGCTACTAAACGTGATTTGGAAATAACAATTGCACACGCCTGTCTCGGCCATTTCATGAAGAACGCAAGAAAGAATGCATCGAAAGATTTAGGAAAAAAACAGGTAACATACACATACTTCAATGAAGAAATAAATTTAAATTTTTTTACCTTTTTCTTCTTCAGATTCCATTTGATATGTGGTTAATGGCGTTACTTGTTAATTGTAATACACTGGATGAAATGATCACTATTTGGCGAAATATATGCATTGTACTTATGAGTCCAAGTCAGAATGATCAATTCAAAATGTCATTATCAGTATTATCGAAATTGGCTGATGAGATGAATGGAGATCCAGAAAAAAAGAATTTTGTTCTTCAAAATGTATCGGTAACAGCGAAAGGCCACATCACAAACGCTATTAAGATTGATGTAAGTAATATTATGTCGAAGTTTGATGTAGGGTGTGAATAGTAATATCATCTATTGTTTAAGTTCACACCTAAATCCTTCAAATTATTTAGCAAACTTTCACTGTTATCAACTTTATTTAGAAAGATGACAATATTACACATGATATTGGATCCGAAGAAGAAAGTATTTTCTATGTGCAATCCTCATTTAATGCACTATTCACCACGATTAAGCAACAATGTAAGGATTTATTAAACGTCTATGATGGCCCAGAATGGAAAGATTTACCAAATAATCCATTATTTTCCGTCTCATATTTAAATCGCATTCTCAAATTATATATGCCGACAACTCCTATTTGGAGTAATCTTCTTCTAGGTAACTTTGGCCAACGATATGGATATTCATTAAACTCGACCGTTCCACCATGTTCATGTCATTTTGGTCGAACAACAGGTGCATCTGAGTCTCAAATGCGAGTCTTAAAAGAAGCCATTCTCAGTAAGAAGATTTACTCAAGAATCGATGAAGTGGCAAGCAAGCTTGGTGAAACAATTGAAGCAGTAGAAATGCAATTTGCCGATTACATATTGATCAAAAAAGGAAAAAGTCGATTACTTCCTGCTAATAAGCAGAAATTAGCAGAAGAACCATGGAATAAACGTAACAAGACAGGAAAAACTACTGGTGTATATACTTCGAAGAAACCTCCAATGAATCTTGTTGCCATGATGAACAATAAACTATTAGGTCAAAATGATGATGCCAACTTAGGTAACTATTTTGAAAATAAGTAGAAGTTTAATAGTAGCTGGAAGTTACAAGATAATTAAAAAGTAGAAAAGTTAGAAATCAACTGATAGACAAAATAATGATGTGAATCATAGCTACTGAAGAGTTTCTCTGTTTAGTGAGAGTTTTTTTTGTACATCAAATAAAATTTTTCATTTTATTTGTATCTGTAAATTTATCTATTGCAGATGCTGGCCAACTCACACAATTTTTAAAATTCGAAAATACATCTAATAACTGTTGGTTGAACAGTGTCTTACAAATGATACTTGCATCTGGTCATATAGTTGAAGCGATTCGGCGATTTGGTTCTGTTGAAGCTGATTTAGCATCTTCGAGAGTGATGGTTTTAGGAAACATGCTGAATTGTTTGGTTAACAAAAACGAATCTGTGAACGAAGTCAGAAAAACAACTGTAGAACAAAGCTTCATTCGAGATCATATCGGCTATCTTCGTTGGACGGGTATTAAAATTCGTCCCGGTAAAAATAATTGTGTATTTGACTTTTTCCAATCAGCAATAGTACCTACTCTGCTTCACTACAATATTGACCTACAATATGTCATCAATATTTCTATTGAATGCTCTTCTTGTAAATCAGTGAGCAGTGTTACTCGACAAAATTGGAACTATCTTCTTGTACATCAAACAACTAAAGAAGACATATTAGACAATATTGTGGCAGATTTGTTTGGTCCTACATTAAAGATGAACCTATGCCCTAAGTGTGTTAAGCAGGGCCAGTATGATACTTCGTTATCGATTATGAATTACCCCAAGAATCTGTTCATTCGTTTCGAACCAAACGTTGCGATGGGTCAGCATAGGCCTAAACTAACAACACATGTGGATTTCGCTCAGATTATTTCTCATAATGTAGCGTGCACTCGATCGTACTCCCGATATACGTTACAATATTTTATTGTATTTCATGGCGAAGATGATGATGGGCATTATATGACCTTCGCTCAACACAAAGGAGATTGGTATCGTCTGAACGATATGAATATAACAATTGTTAGAGCTTCAACTGTTTTTGATGATCAACTTAAAAATGAGCCAGTGATGTTAGCTCATTTTACACGCCCGTCAGAAATCGACGTATTTTCAATTGCATTATGGAATATATTTACTAATTTTGCACCAACGACTAAAACACTACCATCGAATTTATCTTTGAACGACGCTGCAAATTATTTTGCAAAACACCATATTATCGAAGATAATCCATTGAATTTAGTCACCATTAAACTATTTGACTGTTCAATCTGTAAAAGAGGTAACTTTAAACGATTTCTAGTATTTCTCATGAATATTATTTCACCTAAATTTTTCAACCGATTCAAATGACTCCTTCTCAAATTCGAAATATTTCGTTAGAAAAGACTGAGAAGAAAATCACAGAAACTTGAACAACAAGGTGGCTATTCGTGACGAACACTGAAAATAAAATTTCTGGCTTTCGAAATAGAATGCTTAAAAAAAGTTCTAAAGATCCTGTAAATACTGCGCCCCCACTGACCTAGCCCATACCATTTTGTAACTGGTCACAATTACGACTAGGCTTCCTTCATTATAACAATTATTTCAAATTATCTTAATTTTAGAAACCTATGCTGTCGACAGATTCCACGATGTGTGGCAAATGCAAACCAACATAGAAGAAGTCAATGCCATCATAAACAGCTTTGCGTACGAAGATATTAAATGCTCAAAGTGCAAAGAACAAGGGCTGACTCGCGTGATGTTATGTTATATCACGATTTCTAATATTGAAAACTAGAAGTACTGGTCCCAATGCCGTTGATTTCATCGACGACTCAGGTTTATTGCATATTCGACCATCCTTTTCACACCCAGCATTCGAACACTACATACAAACCATATTAATTGTGCTCGAAGAAGACGATATTTTCTACCTGAGAAAAACTGAAAATGGCTACTCATCTTATAATAAAACTACAAGTGAATTTGAACCAATACAAGAATTTCCCACATGCCAAACTGGACTCGTGTCAAACTGGATTGTATTTGTGTGCAAAGCTGAGACGACCATATTCGACACACCAACAGTAAACAAAACATTATTTGATCAAAATAATCTGACAGTAACTACGCAACCAGAGCCATGGACAATTGAAACAGTCCAGGGCCTTCCACCAGCTTTTAGAGAATACTTTCATGTGGGCCCCATCCAAATCAAAGCAAATGATATGAAAATATTATTGGACAGTGGAGGCGACATCAACGATCTGATAATCGATGCACATCTATTCATTACCGCTACCCAATCTACATCAAACCCACGTGTACTGACCTTGGCGAGTCATGCTGTATCCGAAATACTCGAGAAACGCATCAAGCAACTCAAACATATCTGGCTTGATTACGATATTGTACTATGTCCAATAAATCAAAAACAACACTGGTACCTAGTAGTGGTCGATCTCCAAGCAAAATTAATACTACAGTTCGATTCATTGCCAACCCACGACTTACCAAGAAATCAAAACATGAATCGTCTAATACATCACCTCAACACACAATATTATTTAAGGAATGACACCGACATAGATTTCCACGATACCTGGCAACTCTCCACTCCTACCACTGATTTCAATCTGCACCAACAAGACAGTCACTGTTGCGGAATACACCTACTAACGTATGCCAGAGCATATATTAACCGACAACACTTTCCAATCATAACAAACGAAAACGTCGAACTCTTTAGGCACCAAATTGGCGAAGAACTACTGAGAGTAGCAGAGCCCGCCTCCGACCATGACTTCTCATCCGTGAGTCCTACTTTAGATACTTTCACTAGCAAGTCATCACTTATTTTAGATTTCCGACATCCAACCAACCAATTCCACAACTCAGAGTCAGAAGAAAAACAACACGAAAAACAAACAAATGAAAAAAAATAACGCCTCTTGCATTTTCTGAATCTAAAAACAGAAGAATAAAAACCTTCCCCATTCTATTCTCTATCTAACGATGTATTTCATATCCACCGGCAATCGTCCAGAACGATGCCCGAGTCAAACTAATAATGCTTACTCACCGATGAAAGTTTTCCAAAGTGGTATTGCTTTGACATTTTTTTTCCAAGAAGAAAATCGTTTCGCTCTTTCTCGCTCAGCTAGTCATCATCAGAATTGAATTCTCTATCTAACGATGTATTTAATATCCACCGGCAATCGTGGAGACCGATATCTATGTTAGTGTTTAAGTGCAAATGAAATGATGTGAAGGTTTCTTGTTGATTATGTGTTGAGATTGCTGCTGGTTTGAATAGAATCAGTTTCGTCTGATTGGGTTGTGCTTGTAATCATCGAAATTGGGTTTAGTGGTTTCGGATGTGAAAGAGTTCATGGTTAGTGTGCAGAAAGGCTTTCTTAATCATGAGATTGAGTCTCAGTTGCCATTTGAAGTTGGGCTAATTGCGTTTCCCCTGTTCGGCTCTCTCCGTAGGAAAAGCCTTGTGGATTTTCTGAGTGGCTGTCGATGGTCATCATGAGTATTGGTAGCTAGATTCTTACGGTTTTTCTGGTAGTATGGAGTGCTAGAATGGCAGTGGTATTTGTCGCGTATGAACGATTTATAGGCTTGTACTCTGAATGTTGGTTGCTAGGGTGGTATAGTTGGTATTCCATGGAATGAGGCTGGTATTTGATGGAAGTGATTTGATTGGCCGTCGTGGTAGCTTCTCATCGATACAATTCGTTTTATAATTTAAATAGTATCTAATTCTTAAAAGTAATTTTCTTAATCTACACTGAAAACGAAATGAGCACTCTACGAAACTTAAAAGGGTTCCGAGATTTGGAACGAATTCGAAACCATTTTTCTTTATCATACGGAACCTCCGAGGTTCTTCAAGGGTTTCGTAAAGTCTCACAAAACCCTTAAAGATATCGGAGACTCCGACACAGGTTTCGTGAGACTATACGGAAATTTGAAGGTTCCGTACGACATCGCAAAAGGGTTTCGAATTCGTTGCAAATCTCGGAACCTTTTCAAGTTTCGTAGAGTACTTAGTTTTTTTTCAGTGTACTCTTGTGCAAGACTAGCTCAATTCAGTTGAAAAATAAAATCTTTTGATATTGGTAAATATTTCTTATTACAGTCTATTTGTATACAGATTTTTATATCAACTCACAAGAAATATTGAATTATCTCTAATTACCAGAGATTGAAAGTAGCATTAAAAGCGCCTAGATTGCTTAACTATTAACTTCAAGATAATTTGACTCAACTGGTTGACGCAATATGTATGTAACACAAAGTATGTACGTTCGAACCTAACCTTCACCTATACATTTCTATCATTTAGACTAGTCTGAACGTCACAACTTGCTTCAAGAAGATGGATTTAAGACGGTATGGATGACTAGTGTGAGATATACGTACTGTGAACATGATTCCAATATCGAATTTTTGGAGAATTCGGACGGCCGTCAGGACTATTTGCCATGACTAGTCTTTTCCGCACAGAGTTCTACTACAGGACTAGTCAATCTATTCTCGACTTTTCACTAGTCTAAGACGCGTCTTTATTGAGAAAAAGACTAAACCTGTTGACTATTATGATGCCCATCCACTGTACGACCCCGACGGGTTCTATGAACGCTTCTGAATTTCGGACTAGTCATGTACTAGGACTTTTTGAGAAAAAGACTAGACTGTACGCCCCGTCATGACTAAATATGCGATTAGTCATTTTACCCGTCCTTTGCTCACCTGGGTAAACATGTCACAAGAAGTATCGATGAAGCTTCAATCTTACATCAAAACTAAAATTGATCTGTTTACTAGGTATCACTTTCCTATCCTTTATATTTTCATGACATCCTCGTGTCCTGGATACGATGACAATCCAGACGATCGCAAAATCCGCTTTCTCCTTAGATATATCATTTCGCTGAAGTTGAAGATGTTGCGGCTCACCACTACTCCTTAAATTTCGTGTGACAGCTGTTTTTTCAATGTGTTTTAAAAATTTACTTTAGTTTAGTTTAGATTTCGCTTTTCTTGTGTTTCAATCAACGGACTTTCAACGTCCTTCGCTGACAGAATTCTATGCTAAAAGAGAAACATTGACCTTTTAGGAATGGTGCTTCTCCAGTTTATGAAACCAGCAGTTATGTCGAGGTGAGCTAGCAGTCAATTAGAAACTCATCATGATATACTCCCATCTAGTTATCACCAACAAAAGACTGCAATAGCATATGATTGCTTTTATTAGGATTTAAATGAAATTTTCCGAATTGCTTGATTAACAGTAAAAAATATTGAGAAAAAGTTATTATATTCGTGTCAAAGGGACAGATCAAAGGATCCCTTTTCTTCATTTAGTTTACGAAGTCTCGCTTTGCTATCCTCAGATAAATCTAGACTCTGTATCCATAGCCTTCTTAAAGATCGATTGCACATTAGCATATTAGCGAGAAAATCAACAGATTGATCGCTAATCATTGGATTAGAAGAAAGATAAAGTTCTTTCAAAGTTGTATTATGATATGCGAGAGCATCAGCCAAAATTTCCACACCTTGGTCGCTTATTTGATTGTGACGCAAATATAATGTAGTTAAGCTAGTGTTCTTTTTAAGCATTTCAGCAAGATATTGGACACCTGCATCTGTAATATTGTTGCCTCCCAAGCCAAGATCTTTGACCATTGAGTTAGGGGCCGACAACGCCATTGCCAAGAAACAAACACCCTTATCAGACAACCTGTTGTCTCTAAGATAAAGAGTTTCCAGCGTTGAACTCTTGGGCAAAGCATCGGCAATAATCGCAGCACCAGTTGGTGAGATTTGGTTTGCTTGTAACCACAGCTCTTTGCATTGTTGCTTGATAATGGCTTTATGGACCACTATTGGCATATCATAATCGGATAATTTTTGGTGTGATAAGTCCACTACTGGACCAATGCTGAACTCATCTATTAGTTTCTCCAATATATTATCTTGATAAGTTGCATCACCCATAATTGATTGCTAATAGTAAAGCTGAAAAGCTAACATAGATACGTTTTTAGAAAAAGTGTTTACATCGTATCCCGAGCAAGTGCTAGCTACTTTCTTTTTCTCCGAGGTATGTTCCAATTTCCGAAAAAGAAAATTACGGAAAATATTGAATTTTTTGTAATTTTCTTTTTTGGAAATCTGCACACTGCTGTAACAGATTTTATTATCTTGTCAGATCTTACTAAAAGATTATGAGAAATCTATTGAGGGTGTGAGTGTGGGTATCTGCCTTCTTTTTAGATGCACCCCACACCCACACCCACACCCTCAAGAAAACAGTCAGATGCTATTTGATAATTATCAATCAATTACTTTGCTCCTTTTCGGAGAATGCTGTCGGGGAAAAAACCTCTACCTAATATCAATAAGTGACTTGAAATAGTATTTTAATAATATTTTGACTATTTATTACTTCAGTTCTGATCAGTTATTCGCTCCAACGTACACTGAATAATAAGGTATCATATGAAGCCTAAAAATATATTGAGAATTGAAACAAATTCTTAACTCGTGTTAGGTTTCGCACAAGTATGGTTTCATACGAATCTTGTTTCTGATACTAGAAAAATAAGTTTGAGTAGACTAGGTACTGTACAGCATTGCACTTCATATTTACTGTGCAAATTATCAAGCATTGCTTTCCCACTTTCGAGGCACAACCTTTTCTCGATATTATTCACGTACTCTTGTGACTCTAGCATTTAATGAACTCAATTTAAAGATTTCTCGAAAAAAAAACTCTAGAAAGTCACAAAATAAAGCAGCGCAAAACAAATTATCAGAGTACTCTTTGGTGTCGCATACGAGAAATCTTGATGTGCGTGTGAAGTTCAGTAGAAATAAAACATCGGAAACCAACTTATTTTGATTTACAAAAGACATTGTTTCTCTTTAAAAAAGCAGTCAAACCCGAATTTGTCTAATGACGGCAGGTACGAGCAGGGTTACCACCTCTTCCGCATTTTGCTGAAAGTTTCCGCTTTTTCGTATAAAACGTGTTGCATATCAAACCTACGTACAGAATAATATTTGATATTATTGAATCAATTCTTATTGTTCACAAATACCGTGCGCCATCATTCTTTTATCTTTTGAAACTTTGATAAAATAAAAAAAATCCAATGAATATGAAAAAAAATGCCTAATATTCTCAGGAGCACCACAAATTTGCAACAATATAAGCTTCCGCTTTTTTCCCACTTTTTCTGTTTTTCTTTCCGCTATTTTCCGCTTTTTAAGATCAGTTTTCCGCTTTTTGGCCTTCATCAGGTGGCAACCCTGGGTACGAGTATATTGTGTTATTTTTGTTCTTTTCTTCCTTTTCTGTAGCGTGTTTTTTTATTAATTATTTTTCAAAATTAGAGTAATTAGTTATCTAAGACGTTTCGGAGATATCTTTCTTCTTCTTCGGTTTCATTTTATTTCATGCTATGTTTTTGTTTTTACTATTTACAATACGTATCTGACTATTCTTTTCCTTTTTCTTTTTCTTTTTCTTTTGTGAAACTCACATACATTTTCGAAGAAAATGGTGAGTGTAAGTTTAGAAGCGAGATTTTTGCAGCTCCCACGCCCTCCCCGTTACAGACATTAATGAGTTTAAAATTGTGCTAATTAGAAGCTTGACTAATTAGGCTGCTATTTCTTCCTTTTTTAATTACAGATTACACGAAAAAAGCAATGTTTGCCAATTACAGACCATAGTAACTCGTCTCTGCCATTGTTAAATATCCGAGCTAACAATTAATTACTCCATTACAGACATACGCAAATAAGCAATGACGTAATTATTGGCTTTGGAAATCAAGGTAGATTTTTCAGATGAACTGTTTTGAATTATTTTCGTAAGCCAAAGCGATATATGTGAGTTCCACATTTTAGCCCCTAAGGGGCTGTGCTCACAAGCTTTCTCTTTCTCTTTCTCTTTTTCTTTTTCTTTTTCTTTAATAGTGGAACAGAACGTAAAAACATAAGTTTTATCGGCCAGTATTACCGTCTTATCATTTCGTTCCACTATTAAAGAAAAAAAAGAATAGTCAGATACGTATTGTAAGTAGTAAAAACAAAAACGTAATACCAAATAAAATAAAACTGCAGAAGGAGAGAGATATCTCCGCAACGTCTTAAATAATTAATTACTTTAATTTTGAAAAATAATTGATAAAAAACACATTACAGAAAAGGAAGAAAAAACCAAAGTAACACAATTACCATGAACTTCCTCAACACATGTAAGTATGAGTATATTGTAAACGCTTCGCATGACACATGCTTGAAAAGATGCATACTTACCGAACATATTCAAACCAATAGAAAAGAAAATACATACGAAAAAATATAAAATTTTAATGTATATACAAGATCTAAGAAATATTGAAACGATTTTAAAATTGACCGTCGTCGAATCCAAGGCGAACAAACTATGCAACTTCGATAAGTTATAAGGCATAGTCAGCACAAGAACCGATCGTGCCCGACCCCGACCCTCATCCTTATCTGCATGGATCTGGATTAGGGGGGGGGGCACTTTAACTTTACCTTATCAGGTAAAGTGAAGTAAATCACTTTATTTTTCGGGTAAAGTAAAATAGGTCTACTTTACCCGAAAAATAAAGTAAAGTAAAGTAAAGTAAAGTAGAGTAAAGTGAAATATCTTTATCTTTCTGGAGAAATAATGTCATGGCCGATGGCCATGATATAAATTTAGTTAGGATATATCTTCTATATTCTGCTTTGTGTTTCGTTATGGTATCATCCATTGCATTCTTTGATGTTTTTTTCCTCTCTCTTGTCTCTCTCCATGTACTAAATTTATCCCTATGCAATAAAAGAAACGTCATCGGTATGTGATGAGACATGAGAAGGGAGAACGTATGAAAGGAGAATATAGAAATGGATATACGTTTTTGGTGAGTGTGTGTGTTTTTTTTATTCTCCTGTCTTGTTTGATTCTTGTCGATTCAAATTGAAATAAAGTTTGAAAGTGGAGTTAAAAGGAATAAAAAGAAGAGCAATAACAAGTAAGATGAAGTAAAAATGAGATAATGGAAAGAATATAGCTGTTTATTATTGGCTCATTTTTCATTATGACACATTAAAGAGCTTCTAATATGTCAATATTTGTCTTAAATTACGGACTTAGCGTCCTAAAAACTCTGACCATAATTGCATTAGTTTTAGAATTGACATGAGCCCTGATTATTTTTCAAAAGTCTATTTTATCCTTGATCACTACTCAATTTCCCACACCAAGATCCTCTTCATCTGTCTAAAATCCTTTTTGGTCATCGTTTTGATATTAATCTTTTTAGCTCGGTAGTACTAAATACCTCGAATACGAATATCAATTTATTTTCAAATTACAGTTGGATATTAAGAAACATATCAACCACTCCCAGAAAGTCTTATAAAACTAGTTTTGACCTGAAAGCTCGTGCAAGAGTGAATGAGTTTTGTCAAACATAGGGTCACATGATGCGAAAGTCTTTTATCGGTGAGAACAAATAGGAAGCTACCAAATATTCAATGTTTTTACATAGATGATAGTCAAGCACTCAGGGATTTGCAAGATGATGTTAGTTGCTTTTCGTCAAGGCTTAGACGACGCATTTTAGTGGATTAAGAATCATTCTAGTACGTGGTAACAATAATTAAAGATTAATCATATAGATATATAATCCACTAGGCAGTATAAGAAGAGCAAACAAGCAACCGTGATTATGACAAAAAATACCGCTCCATACATCCATAGATTAAATGCAAGAATGCAAGGGAATGCTAGCACTATTTGTAGCTCGAACTCGTTCCTGCGGATTTTACAAAAAAATTAGAAGGGTAGCACGTATAAGGGAAAAGCAACAACTTGGTTTTAGTAAGGAAACAGGGTATATAAAATAGCGATTAAAGTCAATACGAAACAACAAAATTGAGACTCGGACTAATGGGAAAATGTAATCGGGCTCGGGAGTAAAACAATTAGTGTGTTTGCAGATCATAAAAATATCTCTTGATGAGTTCCTATTGTACCTCATAGTGATTTTTCCGGATCTATGTAAAATATCTTATATGGATGCACTGACGATATGTTTGAACGGAATATAAAGCTCATTTCTTTCTCTCTAAGTATTCTATTTCTGGCTTGATTTTCACCCTATAATGAAGCACTTTTGCTCTAGCGCACTATACTTGACAGCCACTCTGTTTCGTTTTTTATCGATATTTGACAGTTTTCCAGCAGAAAAACCACATATGACTCCAAATCGGTAGCATGTTTCGAACCAGTAGAACAAATTGAGTCGACTTATATAATTTTCAATTTATTTCTGCAACTATTCTTGTTTTGGACAAATTATAATTCTG